CATTGCACTTTTTACTATAAATTAAAAGTAGATCGACTTTTCAAATCCTCCGTAGGTTGTAGAATAGAGTAGCCCTTGAGACAGAACTAAGATGGACTGGGACAGAGTATGGGTAAAGGGAAGAGCAGTAGGAATGTGAGGGTTCTTAATAAGAAAGCCCTATATATTAGCCTTAGATTATAAGAACTCTCTAGGTAATGAGGTTATAATGGGGGAAAAGAAATTACTTTGCTTCTTATGATTACACACATTTGCAAACACTCCTCATTAAAGAAAAACTACCTATTCAGCCAAGGGCTATTTTTTTTTTAAAAAAAAGTTTTTCTCAAAGTCTTCGGTTTTTTGGGTTTTTTGTTTGTTTTTAAATAAAAACAAAACAAGCTTTATTAAGGGAGCTCCTGCAACCTTCCTTGGTCTCAAAATGGAGAGCAAAGAAGTTGCCCTTTGAAAGTCTTTGGGAAGGTTTTTATATTAGGGTCTTCAGGGAGGGAAAGGAGGGTCATTCCATTGTAGTTTAACCAGGTGGGTGATGCTGTTCACTCCCTTTGTTGACATGTCATATTCTTTGAATCCTTTATTCTCCCCTTTGACCTTGTTCTGGCCCTAACATCCCAGCCTCTTTAGTGAGAAGAGGGTGATGTATTTTTATTCTTGCTGAACAGGGGCAAAGATCTGGGGCTCAGAGCCTGCATTGGGTTGGCCAAGGATCAGTCACCAGGGGAGAGAATGGATGTTGTAGTAGCAGCTGGTTCACGGTTAAGTTGGTCATTTCTTTTGTTCTGTGAAGTAAGAATTTAAAAAGGTAGGGAGTGATTAGTAACAATATGAAGAGCTACTGGTATCTGAGTGAGACAAAGAGTAGTGGGGCCCACCATTTGAGAGGTGTCAGAGGTCTGCTCAGTGAGAGGAGCATGTTTGACCTGGGAAAGGTGGTGTTCAATGGGTATTACCTATCACCTTAACCACTGTGAGGATAATCAGTATGACTGAGAGGTCTGTATTAACATGGTTGAAGGGGTTTGGGTGCATGCTATTTGATGAAGATGGCTCTCCTGAAGTAACTCCAGCTGTCTGGTCTAGACTTTCAGGCAAGGGTCTGGGTATGCAATGGTCTGCTTGTTCCTGGAATAATTGTCTAAGGAGGGAAGGATAAGGAAGGTATGATGCTAAAAGAGGGGGTTCCCTGGGTGGTTTATGGTTGAGCAGGAATGGTCAGCCATATATCAGCTCAAAGGGGCTTAGAAAGGATGATAAGGTGTTGCTCAGTTACAGGCTAAGGAAATAGGAAGTAAGTCGTTGCTTTCCACACTCTGTTTAAGGAAACTACATCATAGGCTGCCTGGCAGTAACCTTCAGAGGTCATGCAAGAGTTGCCATCAACAGAATATGGTCTGGATTAGGAATGGGTTGGTCAGATAGGAAGAGAAGTAAAGAACACTTAGGATGGCTGGATTAAGGAGCAGTGATTGAGAGAGAGAAATACAAGGATTTTTAAGGAAGAGTAGATGGAGTTCAGTTCTTTCAACTGGTAGGATCTGCGTTTGTGGGGATAAGAAGCTTATTGGAAAGGAGGCGAGTAAAAATGGGTTTTAAACCTCTGCAGTGTTGTGTAGAGATAGGGAATTGGGGTTTAGCAGAAAAGAGGAGAAGTCTTGAAGAGTAATAAGAACAGATTGGTGGTGAAAGGCTACAGATGGAGTGGAAAGATCCCATAAAATGGGGTTGACAACATCTGGTGATAGAGGTAGTGTAGAAAGGAGCTCAGAGGGAAGGAGTACTATAAGGGATAGAACTAAAGGCTGGGCAGGCAAACTAGGTTTGCTTGGCTCCCAGTGAAAAACAGCTCCAAGTTTAGACAGGGAGTCCCTTCCTAGCAACAGAGTTGAGCTTGTAGGGATAATTAGAAAGAATGAGTGAGTAATTGTTTGTTGAGGGTAAAGAGAATGGGTTGAGTGATAAAAGACTTAGAAGGGAGAGCACCAATCCCTAGTACTGAGATCTGGGAAGGGAAAACAGGACCCAAGAAGGAGGGAGCACTGAGAAGGTAGCCCTTGTGTCAACCAGAAAGGAAACTGGCTTACCTGCTATATGAAGGGTTACCTTGGGCTCAACAAGGGTGATGGGGGTCATCAAGGCTCAGCATCTTCAGTCTTCAGTGGCCAGGTCTAAGAGGTCCGCCGCTGGGATGGGGGCCGGGTTTGGCAGAAGGGCTGCCCTACCGTGGCTAGGAGCCAAAGGGCAGTTGACCTTTCAGTGGCCCAGTGGCCCACAGATAGAGCAAGGCTGTGTTGGATGGCAAGGTTCAGGCAGTGGTTAGTCTAATGGCCTTCTTTGCCACACATGGAGCATGCTCCAGGAGGTAACTGGCTTGTTGAACAAGGAGGTGTTTTCTGACCCCTCATTGCTGCTGGCTGAGAGCCAGATACCAGGGCTTGGGGCTGCAGATTTGCCTTCTTTCGGACATGAGTCTCCCTATCAGCCTCTGCCTCTTCCCAATATGGCATTGAAAACTTTAAAGCCATGTTTATTAGATTTCAAATGGGTGTTTGGGGGCTGTCCTCAGCCTTTTTTAGTTTCTTTTTTATATTAGGGGCTGATAGAGTGATAAAATAACAGTGGTCCCTGCTGCAGAGGTAGGGTCTCAGTGGGTATACTGAGTCAGGGCTTCAGTGAGACAGTAAAGGAAGGTGGCTGGGTAGTGGAGAGGGAAAGGCTGAGAGAGGTAGTCTACAGGGTCTGAAAAAGCAGAGTCACCCAGAGGGGTTGAGGATGAGTCCTAGGAGGAAATAAGGAAAGGGGATGATTTGGTATCAGGAGACTTAATCAGTGAAGAGTTTTGGGCTAAGAGAACCTGCACGGGTTGGCAGGCATTGCAGAAAGATGGAAGCAAAAGTAAAAGAAAGCTTGGATAGGGTTTCTGTCCATCTCTGAGTCTGTTGGCAGAAATTGTCAAGATCTTGAAGGGTATTGAAATAAAAAGTTATATTCTTAGGCCATAGAAAGTTATTATGTAGCTGGTATTGTGGCCTTGCTCAGTTACAGTAAAAAATCAGTTTCTTGGGGCAGAGGTCCTCAGCCAGGCTCAGATTTGAAAGATTTGAAAGGAGGCATCCCAAGGGACTGTCCCTTGGAGGTTTAGACATTTGATTACCCATGGTATTCAGGTCCGTGAGTGAGGGCAGCTGAGATTTCAGAGCATTCTCTGAAAACCAGAAGCCTCAGATTCTGGGAAAGGCTAAAGATGATGTGGGTGACCCCTATCATGATCAATAGCCTGAAGGAAGCACCCAGTGCTTGGGTAGGCTCTTGATGCATGCCTGCAATTTTTCGATATGCACAGGCAAGAGTCCAGTACAGACAGACCTGAATCCCAAGGGAGTCCAAAATACCTGGAAGGCCAAAATGCCTGGAAAGCTAAAATGCCTGGAAAGTTTTGTGAACATTTGGGTCTAGCTTTAGGAGCCTCCAGGGAAGGGGAGAGGAGAAATCAGAAGAAAAGGGGCGAGAGTTCTCAATGAGGGGAGGTGTCGGATAACTTCCATCAAGGACTCTTCCAGAATAGAGAGAGCAGTGGACAAAAAGAATAAGGAGTGCAGGGAAAGTGAATACTACTGATCATCAGACATAAACACAAAATGGATGGAAATAGATAACAGAGGGTCTGTCCCCTCAGTGCATGCAGGCATCCCTCTGGCCATGCCCCTGATGGGGTAAAAGTGTGTCTTGGCAATAGGCATGTCCATATGAATCCCAGGCCCAATTGGGTTCCCTAGAGGATCCTTCAAATCACCACTAAGCCATATGACAACACCACAAAACCACAGGTTGGGACTCAATCAAACTTCATGGCTTCAGAGTAGCATCAGCCATGGAGCCTCTTCACAAGCCCTCAGAGCATTCAGTCAGTCAGCAGACATACACATAGAATGGGAGAAGAGGAGATAAATAGGACATTACATTACCATTTGATGTCTTGATACCAGACAAGCTAATAGATTCAAGAGAGAGAGTGAGGGGTGCCACACTCAACCCTGAAAAAGTGTGGGGGCACAACATTCCTTGAGTCCTCTCCCAGGTCTTTCAGCACCAGATGTTAGATCACCACACTGGACATAAGGCCAAGGACTCAAAGAAGGGACCAGAGGGAAAGAGAAAAAGCTTAAAGCAGCTCTTAAGGGAGCTCCCAGGTGAAGTTTCTTGCTCTCAAAATGGAGAATGGAAGTTGCCCATAGTCTTCAATTTAAAAGAATCTGTCCACTAAGTCACCTGTATTTATTAAATAATAATTAGTTTTGGTGGTTTTTTTTATCAATTAGAAACCATTCTCCATCAACATTCTGAACTGCCTAAAAGTTCACTGTTCATAATTTGTGACCCATGCAGATGAAAACAGAGGCATTAGATGTTTGGTCATGGATAAACGGATCATTTCTTAAAAGGCCGAGAATAGTCTTAGCTCTTTAGCCTTGTTTGAGCTGGAGAGTCTGAGGCCAGCACACCCGTGTTAACGGATGGCCGTTTCCAAAGCTGCATTAATGTAGAGGAGATAAATAACTTCAAATCTGAAAGCCAGCACTAAAAAAGGACGTTTGAATGTTTGTTTTATCATACCCACCATTCCAAGCACAGCTAGTCATGCTGAAACAGCAGAATGGAGAAAGGGGGGAAAATCTTGCCGGAGGTGCCTATAATTTTAGTATAACTCGGCTGTTGTACATATGTGTGAAAGCATTGTCACAAAGAAAATTTTTTCTGTGACACTTAGATCCATTTCCTTCATCATGCACATTTTTTTATAAAGTTTGATTGCTTTGACTCAGCATTTGTGATCTAAATAATTTCCTTTCCAAGAAAAGGTGAGAGAAGAAGAAAGGAAATATGTAGAGGAGTAGTGCTTGTTTGTACAACATTTCCTTCACTAAGTGCCTTTATTTATGTGGCAGGCTAGCCAAGAAGTGCTCAAAGTCAAATTTAACACAGTGTTCCCTTTGATCTCCTAGATTCTTGAAGTGAAAAGTCCAATAAAGCAGAGCAAATCAGATAAGCAGATAAAGAATGGCGAGTGTGACAAGGTACGTTCCCAGTCTGTTGAGTTTAGTGCTGTAGCTCTGACACATTGTCTTCTGCTTTGCTATGTCCCTGGGTCATTATTTTGTTTCCCTTGGTCCGTTGACTGATCAACCAAAAATGAAACCCAGCCCACTGTCGATGGGTAGATGGCCCAAGTGATGAGCCCTTCATACCAGTGCTTTGTGGTTTGTTTTTCGAGTCTCATTTCAATCTTTCGTCTTTGGCTTCTTCACCTTTCACTAACATTGGCCCTGATGCCTGCATTGCCAATGATTTAATCAGAGACGTTGAACTAGGAATTGAGAGTGTTGTAAAGGAGGTGTAGGGTGGTGAGGACTCTCAGGTTAGTAAGAGCCCAGTGCATGATGCTTTCAAAGTGCATCACACACCTGAGATCTGACTACAGGGCCTGTTTGGGATTAAATCACGTTATGTAAGCAAGACTTAGAATGCTTTGCAGGGTCAGTCTTCACAAACCATTCCTTCTCCTCTATGAGGCTGGTCCAGTCATGCCCACAAGGACCAGCAAGGCCAATCCTTTGGGAAGAGGGAGGCACCTCTGGTCCTTCAGAGGAACACTTGACAAACCAAATGCTAATTTGGATAGTGAACTCTGCTTTTCATAAGACAATCTTCTGTCACCTGATAGCATTGTTGATTGGCAAATATTACTTGTGAGCAGCAAAGACTTTTTTTAAAGTCGTGGAGATGGGACCATGCAATTTTTTTATCCATGTCCAATCTTGGGACTTTTTTTTTCATTCAAAGCAGATTGAAGAATAAGAAATGAACGTCTTTGGCAGGCTTTTTAAACTCACAGTTTAGCATGAGTCCCTTGGTGTCTGTAGAGGTCTTGTGGGGAGAGGGAAAGTGGACTCATTTGACTTTGGTTGAAGGCAAATAAGTACAAGAATTGTTTGCTTTATAAAGCTGACATCATAAAGGTGAAGGCCAGGCCAAGATAGGTCTTTGGGCACCAAGCCTATGGTTTCTGGACTAGAATGGGGAATATCAAGCTACTGCATCTATTTACTCATTTTCAAATTGCTTCTAAAAGTGCTTGTTCTGTTGGGCAATGCTCTTCTTTTTCAGGCATACCTGGATGAACTGGTGGAGCTTCACAGAAGGTTAATGACACTGAGAGAAAGACACATCCTGCAACAGGTGAGAAGCACTTCCCGAGGCCTGGAGGTCTGCTCTCCCCTGGGGCTGTGTGGTAGTACTTTAAGGCCTGGGTAAGCTCCATCCTGTCAGAACTAAGTTAATTACCACCTGCAGATATGTTTGAGGAGGGTACACATTGTAGAGCCCATCTGGGAGTCTGCTTTGGATCTGTATGGTAGTTGAATGCCCACCCTCCCTGCTGATGAGAAATGGGCACTGGAGGGGGAGATGACGCGATCTGGTGACACCTCAGCTGTAGATGCTGTATATAATTCAGACTGAGAGAAGGAGGGTGTAGTCAGATAGTCAAACCCTTTGGGGGCAGGCTTCTCATTTCATTAGGTAACAGTGTTAAGACCTTTAGTCAGGTGTTATAAGCATTCCTGATCAAATTTAGTAACTTTTTGCCAGTACTGTTTTAAAAAAAAAGACATTTCCCCCGTTTTTCCCTTATCTTGTACAACATACACTGTTGTTAGGAACTAAACTGTGGAGCCACTTGTAGTGGGGGAACTTCTATTAGTTCCTTATGCTGTTTTATGAAGCTAAAGATAGTTTTTAGTTCTAATACAGTGATCAGACATACCTCTCTTGCATCAATATTAACTGTTGTTGAAAACAATTTTTACTGAACTCTCAAAGAGAAAGCCAGTGTTCTCAGTTCTCGCACTAATTTTTTTTTATTACTCTCAAGTGCTTGCAGCTGTTTTATAACCTATGGGACCTGTGCATTATGCTTTTGTTTTGCTTTAAACATATAGGAGCTGATGGTCACATCTAAATATTTTGTACATTTCAATCTTGCCAATTTTTGTCATTAGCCTGGTTAGAAGCTTGGGTTTGTGGCATTTTGTCTGTATACTTTTAGCATATAAAAGTATGTAAAACTCCAATTCTATTTCTGCGTGTTCAATTCAGTGATTCTGAGTAAATTCATAATCCGCAGTCATGCAACTATTATTCCTACTCATTTCCAAAGTATTCTATCTACATTCATAGGGACTGTCCATTTTTCCTGCTAGCCATTGATAAACTTTGGTTACTATATTTTTTGTCCTATTTCATGTAAGTGAAATATTAAGAGTAACCCTCTTTTACTTCAAATTCCATCCCTGTTCTAGCATGTATAAGGAGTTTGTTTCTTCTGATACTTATTCATTGTGTATATATCCTACACTGTGTTTACCCCATTCATCTGCTGCTGAGGGTTTAGATTTTTAACTCTGAGAGTTTTCAGCAGCTCTGTGGGAAGAAGGCTCTCATGGCCTTATCTGTCCGGAGTGGCACTTCTGATGCAAAAGCTGCTCCTCCCATCCAGTTCACATCAACCCCTGTCCTGCAGATTTCCCATATGATTTACAGCCTTGAAAACTCAGTGGAGGGTTAGCCACGAGTTCATTCTGACTCTGTAGCATTGAGGTGGGGGAAGTGGAGAGGAAGACCTGACAATTTGCTCTTGCAAAGATTGTTGTTGTTGTTGTTGTTGTTATGTGCCATCAAGTCACCTGTGACTCATAGCGACCCTATGGACAACAGCTCTGAAGCCTACCCTGTCCTGAGCCAGTCTCCCTGACTCCGACGCATCTACCCCCATTACCCCAGTCACGGAGTCAGTCCATCTCATCTGGGGTCTTCTTCCCCCTATGCTGTCCCTCTACCCTTCCAACCATGATGTCCTTCTCCAAACATGGATTCCCTCCTGGCAATGTGTCCAAATTAGGTGAGACAGAGCTTCAAAATCTTATCCTCCAAGGAGAAACTTGGCTTCACCCTCTCCAAGATCGACCTATTGTGGTTAACCCTGAGGAGAATGGGAATCCCAGAACACTTGATTATGCTCATGTGAAACGTATCCTTGGACCAGGAAGGAGTCCTCAGAACAGAGAAAGGAAATACTGCATGGTTCAAAATCAGGACAGGAGTGGGTCAGGGATGTTTCTTGTCTCCATACCTTTTCAGTCGCTTGCAAAGATTAGACTAGAGAATTCTGTGAGCCAATTCTGTCCTGTTACTTGAAGCTGCCATGATTCAGAATCAACTTGGCACTACCTAACAACCCAGTAGGTTCCAGATTTGGACTAAAGACTGTGCATCTGTGGTTCTTCACTAGGATAAGCTGCACAGCCTGCATGTCCTTTTAAGGAAGTGTGGCAAAGGGAAGCAGGTTTTGAGTGGTTTACCCTAAGACAGTACAGCATTTTGCCAGTGTTTTCCTTCGCTTTTCTTCTGTAAAACTGAGAATTATTACTTCCCACTCAACAAGGTTAATGGAAATCTGTTTCTCAGTCTTATATCCCTTTTCCACATGCCAGCTCTGAGCCACTGTGGAGCACTTGTCCAATAAAGCTATTGATGTTCAAGCTGGGGCAAATGAGTTTTATCCCATAGGAAGGTGAAACAGATGTTTGGACAGGCTTGGGACATCTTGACAGAGAAAGTCTAGGAAATGAGTAGTGGCTGCAAGGCCATTGGGCAGGGTCTTACCTTGGGGTGTCATTGACATTCGTATTTTAACATTGTCCTTTATTTTGACCTTTGAAAAACTTGCAAGGGATGGTGGCTTACTAGAGCGAGAACTCCATCCAAGTGGACTATTTTAGTATTCTAGAGGGAGAGAGTGGTATCTGTGAATTTTTAACCTGGCATAAAGGCACTCCAGAGCACAGAGCATTTCACCCTAATTGCATTCCCAGGCCAGTTGAAAGCTCTCAGTCTTTGGCCTTTTGCCTTGTAATACAGCTGAGGCTGGTGATTATGATATCATGATGCATGTCCTGTCATGGTTTACTGCTTAATTAATTCCTATTGTAAAACATAGCACTGTTGAGGACTAATGTGATTCTCCACCTGGAGAGCGGCTCACCTTGTAGATTGCATTTCACACAGTCACACAGCTTCTGTTTTGAAGACTTGAACACCCGAAGCATGATTTTCAGTTAGCACAGGATCATATCCCAGGACTTCTCTTCTGACTCTTGCTGTTAAATGCACCCTCTCGGAAGATTTGGCTGGCTGCTCTCTTTTGGCTCACAGAGTAGTCGGAGGCTCTGGTTTACTCAGGAGGCCTGGGGTACCAACACTGGCATCTGGTTTCCACATCAGAAAGTGCTGGTTCTAGAACCTGTGTCCCTGAGTCACTTTCTCACAGGGTGAAAATACAGCACAGGAAGCCGAGACATGCTGAGGTGTGAGTCATTAGGACTAATCGTTTGAATCCTCTTGAAGCCATGTGGACCTCATTTACTTGGAAAGGGAGGCTGAGCACTTCTAACCTCCCACTAATTCAGCTTTGAACCTGTATTTGCATCCAGAGCTCTGTGAGAAATTGGACTTTCTTAGAAGACAGCTTAGCAATGTAGACACTGTCTTTTGTTCTTTTAAAATTTCCTTCAGGGCCAGGAAGCTGGGCTTTAACCCTTTCTCTGAGCGACATATCAGAGTATTCTTTTTAACACTACATCACGTTTTTAAAGGAGTGTTTTCCTGAAAATGATTGTTTTCATTCTGGATAATGAATCAACTGCCATATTTTGGTGCTACTTGTACAGTGGTGTTGGGTGGTACTGAGTCAGTGCCAACTCACAGTGAAGGTACAGGACAGATTAGACGTAGAGGGCACAGTTATCATGTCATCAGCTCAGTGCATAACCAGCCCATCTTGAGGAAGACCAGAGTTCTCCCAGACCTGCCTGAGTCCAGTCTGGACAGAAGTAGTTAAAGCAAATTCCCAAGCCTCATTGTCATAAGTTTGGACCTGGCTCATAGCTCATCCTTCATCGGGTTTTGGAGGCTGTAGATCAAATTGGAGATTTCCCAGCTTTCTCTTACAGACCCCCTGGTGCATCCAAACCACCAGAGGGACCTGGCCTCTGGTTTAGGAGTGCAGCTCCATACAGACTACGACACTAGAGCAAAGCTTTTTTCTTACTCTCTCCTAGTGGAAAGATTGTCTCAGATGAAAAAAAAAATAATCTGGATTGTTCTCATAGCACCCCTATAGGACAGAGCAGAACTGCCCTGCAAGGCTACAAAGACTGCATTAGAAAGCATTCTGCTCTCTCCCACCGAGGAGCTGATGGGTTCGAACTGTTACCTTTTTAATTACCATTTTAGCTCTTTAACACTGCACCATTAGGGCATCTGATGGTTTAATATGTGAGACTAAGAACAATGTCCAGTATTGACCTATCACTCTGTTGTACTATGTGTGGGACAAGAGAAAGGCCACCATAGTGAGCTGATTTCAGCATAGCTTCCAGACAAGACCGATTAGGAAGAAATGCATGACAGTGTACCTTGAAATTCACTTCTGACAATGAAAAATCTCTGTGGATCACCACCTAATATTCTGTGATCTAATGGTGGAAGATTAGCCAGCTAGGTTGGAAGGCGCTTAGCGGCCACAGTGGACTCAGATATGCAGTGACCATGGAGATGGCCAGGGAAGGACATAGTTTTGCTCTGTCATAATATAGTAACAATGAGTCGGAGCTTATGCAATGGCAGCTGATAGTTGCAGCCACCAAAAACGGCCCCATCTTCATTTTTTTTTTTTAGTTCAGTTCAAGTTTAGAAGAGGAAACTACAGATTCAACAAGTGAATCTTTCTCAGTTTTATTTTTTTTTAAAGCCAGCTTGGTACCTCTTCCCTCAAAGTCTGACATTGCAGGAAATATCATAAGTGTTTTCATAACAGCCATCAACTAAAAAATGAGTTAAGTCTTTTGCATGCTATTTGTATTTGCCTAGTTTTACCTTTTGCCCTTGCTTGTTTAATATGTGGTCATAGTAATTTTTTTTTATTTTGGGAAGACATTAATTATTACAGTATTATGAAATGTAGTCATACTAAGGCCAAGCCCTACTGACTACAGGACAGGGTATTCCTCTAGAAAGGCAAAGCACAATCATTGAGAAAGGAGCAGGATCTTTTCTAGGCTTCACGGTCTGCTTCAGTGAAATACAACGTTTTAATGTTCGATTTCTGCTGTTCTCACTAT